TCCCCTGGCATTCCGGCTTGTCTCCCACACCCGCACCCATTCTGTGCTGCTGTATCAGAGGCAGCCATGCATGGTGCGGGGGAGGGAGGCGGGAGCTGAAATGCAGGGAGCTGGTTCCGTGGAGCTGCTTGTCCCTCCCATTGCTTCCTCCCATAGAAATGCCTCTATGGCAAAAATTCAGCGGTTACACATTTATACAAATATATGTTAGTTAACATCCCTAATTTCCACTCTCCTTTACTCGGCAGAGGATGATCTCCTCCTCTAATGATTCAGAGAGAGAGGGAGGCGGGAGCTGAAATGCAGGGAGCTGGTTCCGTGGAGCTGCTTGTCCCTCCCATTGCTTCCTCCCATAGAAATGCCTCTATGGCAAAAATTCAGCGGTTACACATTTATACAAATATATGTTAGTTAACATCCCTAATTTCCACTCTCCTTTACTCGGCAGAGGATGATCTCCTCCTCTAATGATTCAGAGAGAGATTTAACTAGTTTCTTTAAACTCATTTTCACTTAGGCTTTTAGCTGGAATTAGAATCTGGGGTATATCTACACTGCAGTTACATAGTCTTAATGGCTTGTGTCAGCTGACTTGGGTTTGGGGAAGGGGGAATGTTTAAGGTGTGGATGATTAAATAATTCCTTAATCTAAGTCAGCTGACATGGGCTAGCTGCACTTCTTTAATTGCACTATAGACCTATCTCAGGTTTCCTGAGTAGAGATTGTATTACACCCCAAACTAGTCATTTTAAGAATGTTTGTTTCATCTCATTGACTTCTTTTTAATTTTCACTTAGATCTGGAACCTGGCAAACAACCGTCTCAGTTTTTTAAATTCTTTCAAAATGAAAATGTCAGTGATTTTTGGAGTGACTCACATGACTTTTGGAGTTGTTCTGGGAGTCTTTAACCACTTGTGAGTACGGGAATTAAATGAATGTAGAATAAAGTTGTGACATTTTCTGATCAATGTTTATTATCTGAAATAACTGGAATGTTTTTGAGAACTGAGCAAAGGCAATGTGAATTCAATTTGAAAATGATTTTAAAAAAATAAGTCAGTTTTGCTTAAGATCCTGATTTCCATGCAAAAATATAGGAAGGCCAGAGTTATACAGAAAAATCTGCAGCCTTTGAGAAGTGAGATTTTGTGTTGTACTGAAGGATGGGCTTTAAGCTGCTAGTTTTGGACCCCTCCTAACATCTTCTGCGTAACATTGTTAATGCCTTGGTTCTATCTGAGACATTAATGTCCTTTTTGTTACTTAGGGCTCAGTCCTGCAAATATGCATATGCTGGAAAAAAAGGCATGAATAATGTAATTGAAATCAGTGGGATGATTCCGATCCTTATAGTTAAGTATTTGCATAAGTGAATGCAGGATTGAGGCCTCTGTTAACAATTGGTTTTGTTTTATTTTAATTTAAAAAGGGTTTCACTTCCTCTAGGAAGGCCCTTTGACCATTGACACCCAGAGTAAAATTTCTGTTGAGTTCAAGATCAAGGTTTGGCTTGTAATTTCTAATATAGTTTCTATTTCTGAACACGGTCAACTTCCATTGATGCCACAGAGGTTGAGGGCTCTCAACATCTTGATAGAATTAGACAATATAACTGATTTTTCTATGTCAAGGTGGTTCATTAATTCTTTTTTTCCTTTAGGTATTTCAGGAAGAAGCACAATATTTATTTGGTTTTCCTTCCTGAACTTTTTTTTATGCTGTGCATCTTTGGGTATCTTGTATTTATGATAATCTTTAAATGGCTAGCTTATAATGCAGAAAACTCCAGAACGGCTCCAAGCATTCTGATTCAATTTATTACCATGTTTCTATTTCCCACTAGTGGAAAGGACACTCTTTATACAGGACAGGTTAGTATACTCTTATAAACTGAAAGAGGTTGGTAGAATTCAGAAGATCCTAAGTTGTTTAATAGTGTTATTGAACAAAAAGTATTATTTCAATATTAAATTAAGGTAGTGTTTGACTCTAGTGTGAGGACAATAAAGACGTTATAACAGGATTATTTTAAAAGATAAATCCATAAAAGCATAACTATTATGACTGAGCATTTTGTTTTTAAACTTTGTCTAAGATTTTCATGCAGATTTTTAAAAACCCCAACACACATGCTATTTAAATCCTGTACTCCTTACTCAGGCTAGATTTGATTCTCTTTAGTAAAAAAGTCTGTGCTCTGTTCTGCAGCCTATCTCTTCTCTTTTAGTTTTTAATATTATTGTATTTACCAAAACAGACATTTTAAGCTTAGAAATTGGTAAACTTGCCTGCACTTTTTGGGAGCAATCCTGAAGATGAGTGCCCTCAACTGCTATTTAAAGCTCTTACTCAGCAAAGCAACAAAGTGCGTGCTTAACTTTAAGATCCATTAAAATCAGGTGGAACTTCTCAAATGCTGAATCAGGACATTAAAGGAAATCATTAGTTAAAAATTGATTTAAGTACTTACGGGAAGATTTTCTGAATTCATCTTTACACACCTTTTCTTTTTTTCATTCTACTAACAGGTTATTTTACAGAGATTTTTATTTATTATTGCTTTGCTTTCTGTTCCGGTAATGCTTTTTGGAAAACCGCTTTATTTGTATTGGCTGCACAATGGAGGCCGAGGCATTGGAATATACAGGGTATGTACTGAAAGATCTATATACCTATAGCGTGCATTTTCTAAATTGACAAGCAGTGTATTAAAGGACGTTTTATTGTAAGTCCTTTTGACTAACATTTAATTTTTCAAACAAGCATTATCAGCTATATTGAGGAATCTTTATAAAGGCTTCAGTTAGCCCAAGTGGCTCCTGGAACCGGCACAAGCCAGGACTGTTCAGTCCCAGCTCACACCACGCTGGGAGCTAACCCCACTGTGGCTCTGCACTTCAAACGTAGTTAAGAGCCCACTGGGACCATCCCCTACCCTTATCGACTAATTGAGTAGTCGATGGCAATGGGAAATTTTCACTAATAAGGTATTTTCACAAATTATGTTTGCCAAATTTCCTTTAATTTACATTATATGTAATATACATTTAAATTTGTTAATATGGGTAAAGAAAATATTTTTTTTAGATTAAGAAAATATCTAAAAGCTCTAAAATGTGCTATAACTTGATATTATTATGCAAATTAGAAAAATTGATATCTATTTTTGCATTAATAGGGCCTCTCCACTGCAGCTTTTTCAGTTTCTGTGGCCCCCTAAGGATATATCTACACTGCTGATAGACGTATGGCTGAGACATACCAACTGACTTAGGCTTGTGGGGCTTGAAATGGAAAGTTCAATTGCAATGCAGCCATTTGAGCGTGTCCTGGAGCCTGGATTCTGGAACCCTCCCACCTCAGAGAGTCCCATCTTGCAGGGTCCCAGAGCGCAGGCTTCAGGCCAGTCTTAGAAGTCTGTACTGTAAATAGTTCCACAGCCCATGCTCTGTGAGCCTGAATCAGTGTAGACATACCTTGAGAGTTTGCAATGTCTGCTTTAAATAAACACAAAAACCACTGCAACCATCACAGTGCATCAAAAATTCTTGTTAGTGAACTGACACTTTCCATTTTGTGCAGAATGGCTACAGATTGGTTCGAAAAGAAAGCGAAGAGGAACTTTCTCTGTTGAGAGCACATGATGTGGAAGAAGGAAGCAGCCCTTCAGAAAGCAGGCACCAAGAAGGGACTGTAGAAGAGGTAACACTTTCAGCTATTGCCTGTAATAAGGATGGCCAAAAAGCATATTATCATTGGAAAATTGTATGAGTTGATATGTGGCAAATTGTTATACACAAAACCACATTGAGTTCCTTGAACTTCTAAAATCGAAAGCCTCTGGCTGAAAAGGAGAGACACTCCCCACATTCCCCTTTAACACCAGAGTCTAGGGTGGCCCAGCCTAGTAGATTTTTGTGTGCTCCAGCCCTGTGGATGGGTGGCAGGTGTATGGGGGCTGCGGGTGGCTGGAGTGCCAGTATGGGCTCCCCAGTGCTGAGCCTAGAGCCGGATCAAGGCAAGCTGGAGGCCACATCCAGCTCCTGAGCCTGAGGTTCCCCACCCCTGCTGTACATTTTGTACATTTTCACACTTCACAGTATGGATTTAAAGTATACAAGTGTATTCACTTTATATATGTTTTGTTAGTTTAACTTTGCAGATGTTTTTATGAATCAGACTATTCATACCATTGAATACTGTCTAGGATGCATCTCCAACACAGCTTCATATCTGAGACTCTGGGCACTAAGTCTTGCTCATGCACGTAAGTCTTTGTATTCCATTCTAATCTTTAATGTTTCTGGAGTTTGTTTGATCATTTTAGAATATTCTAGATCTGGTTGGTGGTTTAAAAAAAGCCCTAGAGAACTGAGTTGACGAATAGAAAGCACTTAATATTGAAAAGTGAAGTTGTGACTTGGAATGCTGAATTTGGTATATGGCTTCATTGTTTCCTCCTGATTATGTGAAGAATTGTCAGCTAGTAACTCTTAAAAATGGTTTTGTAGATGATGATACTATGTCATGTGATATTTAAAATCTTCCCTTTGCTGTCTTGGATGTAGGAAAACGCTTAAGAATTTACTTAAGTCATTCTGTGTTCAGGAGAATTTTAAGCATGTTTTTAAAGTTAAACATGCTTAAGAACTGTCCTTATTAAAAAAACAGGACTATGTAGCACTTTAAAGACTAACAAGATGGTTTATTAGGCGATAAGCTTTCATGGGCCAGACCCACTTCCTCAGATCAAATAGTGGAAGAAAATTGTCACAACCATATATACCAAAGGATACAATTTAAAAAAATGAACACATATGAAAAGGACAAATCAAATTTCAGAACAGAAGGGGAATGGGGGGGGGGAAGGTAAATGTCTGTGAGCTAATGATATTAGAGGTGATAATTGGGGAAGCTATCTTTGTAATGGGTAAGATAATTAATGTCTTTGTTTAAACCTAAGTGTAAAGTGTCGAATTTAAGCATGAATGACAGTTCAGAGGATTCTCTTTCAAGTGTGGTCTGAAAAGGTCTTTGAAGCAGGATGCAGGTAATAAGTCGTTGAGACAATGTCCTTTCTGGTTGAAATGGCAAGAAACTGTTTTTTCTTTGTGATCCTGTCTAATATCTGTTTTGTGGGCATTGATCCTTTGGCGAAGTGTCTGAGACATCTGTCCAATGTACATAGCAGACGGACACTTTCGGCACATGATAGCATAAATTATATTTCTGGATGCGCAGGAATATGTGTTCTTGATCTTATAACTCACTTGGTTAGGTCCAATAATGGTATCAGCAGAGTGAATATGTGGACAAAGCTGGCAACGGGGTTTGTTTAGTTCCTTGAGCATCTTGTGTTATATACTGGATATCTTCAAAAGGACACATTTTTGCTGCATTTTCTGATCCAGGAGATTCTAGCTTAATTGAAACCGGAGTGCAGACTGATTAAAACAGATTTTTTGAATGTGTATATGTTTCCAAATGTAATTTTGGAAATAATTTGTTTTTCAGAGTTATCAGAAGTGCTGTGGGCAATGATAATGAGAGTGGGTCTTCGTGTGGATGCAGCATATGGAATCTTGCTGTTAGTTCCAGTTTTAGCCTTTTTTGCTGTGTTAACAGTATTCATTCTTTTGGTTATGGAAGGTCTGTCTGCTTTTCTTCATGCTGTACGACTTCATTGGTAAGTGTGTTAACTGTTCATTTTTTTAAAACTCTTTTTTTAAAAAAACAGCAAGCAAATGGTCTGGTAGCATTTGTAGACTAACAAAACATGTAGATGGTATCATGAGCTTTCGTGGGCACAGCCCACTTCTTCAGATGACTGGAGTTATGAGGAGGGGATGAGAACTCAAAATAAATAGGAGAAGGAAAGAGGGGTGGGAGGAGAGAGAAAGATGCTCTTTCTGAATGGTATCCTTCCTGCCTTACCAATCTATGCACTGACTTTGATCTTTATCTACTCAGGTTTAACACCCTTTCTCCTGATACTTTATTTATAGAGGTAGGGAGGTGGGCGACAGAGCATCTTTCTCTGTTCTCCCCCCTCTTCCCTTCTACTATTTGTTTCGAGTTTTCTTATCCCCTAGTCATAACTCCGGTCATCTGAAGAAGTGGGCTGTGCCCATGAAAGCTCATGATACCATCTACACGTTTTGTTAGTCTATAAAGTGCTACCAGACCATTTGCTTGCTGTTTTTTTCTGTAACAGACTAACTCGGCTACCCCCTGAAGCTCCTGTCTTTTTTAAAAAATCTGCAATGGGACATTGTTGGATAAGCTAGGCCCAAAATTTAGAATGTTTATTTTTAAAATTAAAATGTAGAGTTTAATAACTTAATAGTGATGCACTACTTCTATTACATTAAATAAGTGTAATTGAAATTGTGTAATTTAATTATTCTCCTGTATTGTTTGTACTCAGTGTAGGAGTAGGTTGGTTCATGAGTGCAATTGATTTAGAATCATAGAATCATAGAGCTGGAAGAGACCTCAGGAGGTGATCAAGTCCAGCCCACTGCCCAAGGCAGGACCAATCCCAACTAAATCAACCCAGCCAGGGCTTTGTCAAGCCGAGACTTAAAAACCTCTAGAGATAGAGATTCCACCATCTCCCTAGGAAACCCATTCCAGTGCTTCACCACCCTCCTAGTGAAATAGTTTTTCCTAATATCCAACCTAGACCTCTCTCTCTGTAATTTGAGACCATTGCTCCTTGTTCTGCCATTCGTCACTACTGTGAATAGCCTTTCTCCATCCTCTTTGGAACCTCCCTTCAGGAAGTTGAAGTTTGCTATCAAATCCCCCATCACTCTTCTTTTCTGCAGACTAAACATACCTAAATCCCTCAGTCTCTCCTCATAGGTCATATGCCCCAGCCCCCTAAACATTTTGGTCGCCCTCCAGTGGACCCTCTCCCGTGCGTCCAACATCCTTTCTGTAGTGGGGGGGGAGGTGGAGGAGGAGCAGAACTGGACACAATATTGCAGATATGGCCTCACCAGAGCTGAATAAAGGGGAATAATCACTTCTCTGGATTTGCTGGCAATGCTCCTTCTGATGCACCCGAATATGCCATTAGCCTTCTTGGCTACAAGGGCACACTGTTGACTCATATCCAGCTTCTCATCCACTGTAATACCCAGGTTTTCTGCAGACCTGCTACATAGCCATTTACTCCCTAGCCTGTAACAATGCTTGGGATTCTTCCATCCCAAGTGTGATTCTTCTGTCCCAAATGTTACTTTCAAAGGTGAATTCAGTGCAAAATATAACTAAATAAATAGTTTTTTAAAATGTGTGGTTTTGATACCAATTGGTGTTAGTAACTCAGAAAGTTAATTTTTACTCTGATTTTATTATTTTAAATCTCTTCATTCCATCATTATGACCTCAGTTCAACAAAGCATGTAAGCATATATTTAACTTGAAGCATGATCATCCATCCCTGTTCAGCAAAGCATGTGAGCAAATGCCTAAGTTCTTTGCTGAAATAAGCTTCTGTTCCTTATATTCCCTTATATTCCTTAATCACATCTTAACCCTCAAAATCATGATCCTTACAAATTTAGTTTAAATCAGGAAAAAATTTTAATATTAAATTTATTGGAGTTTGAAAGGGATAGGAGACAGAAATATTCTGTGTGTATTTATATGTGGAAGCACATATCATATTGTCTGTTTCTGCTATACTATAGGTTCCCAGAATAATAAATGTACTAACTTTAAAAGAAACTATAACAGCAAATAGGAAACAAGGAATGGGCTGGTATAGTAGAATGTCTATACTGTATTTAGGCCTCCCGATAAATGTCAGGCCTATCAGTAACTGGCAGAAAAGTTAAGTAATTAGCCCAAAGGTATCAGTGTTAGAGCCAGAATTAAATCTCATTAATTTCTGGCTCCTAGTATTATCTTTAGGGCTGTTGTGTATTAATATATGGATGTTTTTTTCTCATTACAGGGTGGAATTTCAAAACAAGTTCTACACTGGTGGAGGATACAAGTTTACTCCTTTTTCTTTTAAACACATTTTTTTACATTTTAATAAAGATGATATTGCATAATTTTGTTGGCATAAGCAAAGATGTTCCAAGTTGTCTGCAAATCATGTAATTAGATCTCATTGATGTACAGTTTCTAGAAAAAAGTGTTTCACTGATTGCCTTATAATGTGGCCAAATAATTCTGTAATATATACCTCCTTCATACATATACGTTGCAGATCTGGAGCCTCTTGTAATATGTAATATATACAAACACACAGAATTTTTTTTATGTTAAACTAATGTAAATTAATTTTAAGATAATTCTAAAAAATCTTGTATTGCTTGTTCTAAAAGAGAAAATATATTTGATTTCCTTAAATTACCTTAAAGACCTTAATTTCCTTTTCATCATATAAAATACACAACTACTCATATGATCAAACCTCCATTATTTAAATTACCATCTAATGGAAATTGGAAGCAGTGAAGATTAAATAGTATATGTTTTCAGTAGTTATTCCCAAGAGATTACCAAAATAGTATACATTTGTAAAAACTAATATAAAATACTCCCTTTTTAGCTGTTTTTAAAAGTACACCAAGATTTTTTTTTAAACTCATGTCCAATTTGCCCAAAATTATTACTTTAATCTTTGCAAGTATGCATCCTGAAGCTTCATTGGATAAAAGAAAAATTAAGGGCAGGGAGAGGAAGCCAAACTATGATTCTTTTATCTCATTCCATGGAGGCCTTTAATTTTATGCCCCAGTTTTGCTACATGATCTGTGTGGGGTGGACTCCTTTATGTGTGTGGAACTCCACTGTCTTCATTGGACACAGGGATTGCTAATACAGGCCATCTTGAAGAATCAGGGCCTTCATGATATCTTTAACCGGCAGCTTAAATTGTACAACAGAATATGTCATGTCCTGATCGTATAGTCCTTTCACATGCAAAGTTCCTATAAATGGAAATTATATTTTATGATGAGTTCATAATCAGGCCTTAAATTTATTCTGTATATATTTGGCTGTAAAGATATTAATGGATATAGGATGACTGGATGGTTGGTTTATTGGGTGGTGTTATTGAACCAAAGTTGTGTATACCGAGTTAAGAAAATTTACTTAAAAGGTTATATGTGAATAGATGAGTGGATGTTTTTGTATTTTTATATCAAAATGAAAATTAAGGATATTTTACCTTAATAATTTGAAATCTGTACCATAAGAACAACATAAGTTAGCTTTTACATTTTTCTTTCATACTACTTCCAAATAAAAACTAATTGTCATTTGCACAAATAGTATTTTGCAGTGTTTGGTTATATTTAGTCCTTTAAAGTCAACTCCTGCAATTCTTAAACTATACCACTAAAATTTTGGCTTATGTCAGATTTCAGTTTCTTTTCTATCATATTTTAAGAGGTTTCTACTATTGTAAGAAGTTATGTTATTGGTTTTAGGTGTTTTCATTCCCTACTTCTATTAGATTACATCCAGTGCAGCTCCAAGCATGCCTGCATATGCATCACTTTCTATTTTTACATTTTATTTTAATTGAGAATGTTTACATATTTTTGACTAAAGATGTATCTTTGTGTGTGTTTTTAAATTCAAAATTTGTGGAGAGACATAGATGACACAGGAGATTTGCTTTAACAAGAATTAGAGTCCTGAGTTTCATGAAGCAGTCTATCTGAAAATATTCTGGCTGTGATTCAAACAGGCACTTACACATACAGTAACTTCAAGCACATAAGTATTTCCTTTGATTTCAATGGCATTATTCAATGCCTGAAGTTAAATAGGTATTTAAATTCCTTGCTGCATTAGGATGTCTGTCAGGTCCCAGAACTGCAAACTCTTGTTACTTTTATAGGAGAAGCTGATCTCTGAGGGTATGTCTACACTACAGCGCTAATTCGAACTAACTTAGTTCGAATTAGTTAATTCGAACTAACGCGTCTAGAACTAAAAACTAATTCGAATTAGCGTTTTGCTAATTCGAACTAGCATGTCCACATTAAGTGGACCCTGAACAGGGCTTAAGGATGGCCGGAAGCAGTGCTGGCAGGGCATCAGAGGAGGACTTAGAGCGTGGAGCTGCTGCCTCAGGCTAGCCGAGGGCTGCGCTTAAAGGGTCCCGACCCCCACCCCGGACAGACAGTTCTCAGGGGTGCCCTGCTTGAAAACCAGTCCTGGCTTGGAGTGCCCTGAGTGCCCACACTGGGCACATCACACCACTCGGCCATCA